TCTTTGGGGGGGGGGGGGGGGGGGGGCAGAGGAGGAGAGGGACGAGAGAGAAGCAGAAGCAACACAAACAACGTGGCGTTCGGTGTCGGCGGTGGCAGAGCAAGAGGGTGTTGAGACCAAACAACGACAGTATGTACGTAGATCCTTTTTGTGTGGCACGACTTTGGGTACGTGCTACCACCAGAAATACAGCCGGACGGTCTTTCGGGGAGAACGGGGGAAAACACAACCACTTCCATATGTGTCAAAGCTCTCTCTCTCTCTCTCTCTCTCTCTCACCGCACACACACGGTTTACAGAAAACGTGAAGAGGAAAAATCCAGGAAAAGTGTCCCGGCGAAAAACTCTGCCGAGCGAAACGGGTCTCGCCGTATGAAAAGAGTCTTATTTACATCACACGTCTTGCGGGTAAACAATTGTACCTTGACCTTGAAACACCCCGAATGGACCGACCGAGGACTTAATTAATTACCTGCGCCAGTTCCCGGAACGTTCCCGTGAAATCTGCCGAGGTGTCCGCCATGGTCGCGAAAAGCGACTCGAACAGCCCGTCGTCGTCTTCCTCCACCGAGAACAGCCCGAGCTTCCTGATGGATGTAATAGAGGTGGGCATGCCAGAAAAAAAAAAGACATGAGACTATTACATTCTTGTTTGTTTTTTTGTTTTTTTCGACATAACAAAATGCTACTATACTTCGTCTATTTTTTGTGTGGAAGGCGGGATAAAAGTCGCCATGCCGACACAAAGCCCAGGTGATCACCCAGACATTCACAGACAAAACGCAAAGATCGTACTTCGGTAGCATCCAGGTACAACCACAAAGGTACCGCAACACTAAAAAAAAAATGGATGGTATCTGAATTCAGAAAAGAGCAGCCCGAGGCAAGAGAGTTTGCGACGCGACAAAACACTTGTAGCGTCAGGTAGGATAGGAATGTCCGTGCTCATACTCTCGCTGCCCACACCCGACTGCTTAGATGTCACTTTTCAACGCACCAACGCACTGAAATTAAACGATTGGAATGTTCGTATTTCAGTCTCGACCGCAAAAATATGCTACATCCAACTGGTGGAATTGATCCGAATCTAAGCATGTACTTCGCTGATTCACACAGTTCTTGGTATCTGCGCGTACAGCAGCAGTGGAGCCGCAAGCAATCACAACACACAGACGCGAAAAGATACCACAGCAGTTGCTGCAAAAAGGTACAGCAGCTGATCGCTGGTTTCAGATCGTCGAACCTCCGCATCCCCTCCTCGTAGTACCCCTTGAAGAGGCCGTCGTACTTCTCGAGAGCGGCCGTAGAGTCCGACAGCGGCAGCGCCGGCGCAACCGCTTCCGCGAACTTGTGCAGGTTCCACTTGCACATCTAGGGTACGGTGTACCGCAAGATATGGCCGCGTCCACACACGTGTGCGTGTATGGGGCAGACGTGTGGGAAAAAAAACACCAGCAGCAGCAACCATCACCAGCGACGGCGAGGACAAGGCAGGGGGCACCAGCGTCGGACAGGGTAGGGGGGGGGTACTCAACATTCATGTATGACCGAAGAAGCCTTCGCAGGGCGTCGTCCAATTTTGCAGCCCTTCCGATGACGGGATGGAGCACGGAGGGGTTTCGCCCACCAGAAACTTGTTGGGGGTGGGGGTGGGGGTGGGGGCGGGAGGGTGGAGTGGGAGCAAGCACATGATACAACGATGAGAGAGAGTCGAGCTATCCCAAGGTGGCCGAATCAAACGCGCCCGCCTACATAATCAAAAACAACCAAAAACAACATACTTTGAGACACCACACAAGCACCCCATCTGATACACTCCCTGCCTGCATCCTGTGCACAATTTCCGCGTCAAATCGCGAAAGCCAAGCTCTCTAGTCCATCGGTACATACCCCCCCCCCCCCACCCTCGTTCACCTCCGGCTGTCTCTCGTAGGAGTACCTCCCCCCTCCATCCGACCCGTTGGGCACGAACTTGGGGTCGAAGAAGTCCATGAAGCCGTACGGCCCGTAGTCGATGGTGAGGCCGAGGATGGACATGTTGTCCGTGTTGAGAACCCCGTGGGTGAAGCCGACGCACTGCCACTTGGCCACTAGCTCCGCCGTGCTGCGGACGGCTTCCTCGTACCTGTGCGACAAAGAGGAGGCATGCATCGTCGGGGGGGGACGGCATGATGTAGGTCGATCGATGTGTCTAGGCCGCCTGCCGTGGATCACCACCGTCGCCACAGCTGTGTGTTGCGATGAAATGTTGTGTGATTGGCGTGGCGCACGTCCCAGTTCTCACGTTATTTTCCTTCGCTCCTGAAAAGTTGTTGACCGATGTGCATGCGTTGTGTCACGTTCTTCAGGGTCATTTCCGTTATGTGTCCAGTTAACATTGAAGCCGTCGACGGACGTTTGGGACATGGAACACGCGATCGATAATACGTTTGCCGGCATTGGGTGGAGTGGTAGTTGTGGTGCTGTGTGCCATGCTCTTCCTACACTACATATGTACTCCGAACACGGGACGAGGCCGCTCTCCCCGGTCTCTCCCGTGCACCTCCTATTGGGGGTCCCGCACCGTAGCTACTGCCTGGCTTACGTAAGCCATCGGGCAGCCGGATCTCCGGCGTCAAGTGTACGGACACAAGGAGGTGCTGGAAAGAGAAATCGGAACAGTTACAAAACGCGAAGACGACACTAACAACAACAACAACAACAACAGCCGGCGCCAGCAGTAAAACTGAAGGACGACCACACAACGCACGCGCAGCACACAACGCCCTTTGGCTCACATGGCGAGGTAGCGCGCCTTCGACCCCTCGGGACCCGCGGCCGCCGCGCCCGGGAAGAAGCGGCCGATGGCGTACTCGAGCATCTGCAGGCGGAGGGCATCATTACCGGCGCTGGGGCCGTCCCTGCCCGTGCGCGGGTCCCTGGGTTTGAAGATCTCGAACGATCCGAACCGCAGGAACGTCGGCGCCAGCCTCGTCACGATCTACGTGTGGGGTTCCGGAACCGTCCCGAGGATCGATGCCGACGCAGAAGAAGCGCACGAAGTTTAAGTTTGTACCAAAAGTAAGACCTTTGACACGTGCTTGCAACGGGGAGGAGGGGTGCGGACTAGGTTGGCGTTTATTGTTCCCCGTTACAAGACTGACGTGTGTGGTCATTGATAGCCGGATATAGAGGTCCATGAAAAGCTCATGCACACACACAACAGCGGTAGAGGTAGTCCAGTCTATATCCGGGAGCTCAGGTGGTGTTGGGTGCACACGTGCACGCGTAAGCGTTGATCACTTCGACCGGGTTGCGTGCTCTGGCGCGTAGCCATCAGTCAACAAACGCCGGAACGCCATCCATCAACAAAAGAGTACCCCCCCCCGCCCCCCCCCCCAATATACGTGCCCCCGTACGCGTGCGGCTCCATTGCTTTCGAAGCAAACCCACCGACGCTCGCTCCTGGATGACGTTGCCCGTGTAGAAGACGTCCCGCCGAACCTTGGTGTCGCTGGTCACCAGGGCCGCAGCTCTCGTGGTGGGGATGCCAAGAAAGTGCATCGCTTCCGAACACAGGAACTCCCTGATGGACGATCGGAGGACCTGAGAGGGCGAGCGAGGGAAAGGGTGGGTGCCCAGAAGACAGTCAGCAGCCAGGGTGTGTGGGAGGGGCGAAAAACGCCACCAAAATGACGCGGGGCTACATTTGCTAGTAGGTCATTCGCTGCCGTTCTAGGCCATTCGCTGCCGCTGCGGGCCCTTTGGAAGGGGAACGTCGAAGAAAGAGTGAACAGACAAACCCACCGTCCTACAAATCATCCTAGATGTTCCCCCAGCAAAGACTGACGTCTTTTCATTGGTCAACCGGATATAGCGCGGTCGATCGAACCAAAGAAACAACACGGTGTGCACACACACGAACACGCACAGAGGATACCGCCTCCGAGAAATTGCTCTCGCCGGGTCAACCCTCTCGGCACCTAGCTGGGAGAGAGAAGGGACTCCCAAAAAGTGCACTCTCTTCTTTCGCGCAGTCCATCCGGCAACTGGTAAGCCCTGGGATCTAAGACGGCGTCCCTGCGAAAGGCTTGTGTCGCAAAAAACTGGCTCACCTTTCGACCGTCAGCGCTTCTGCTGTACGGGGTAAGCCCGGCGCCCTTGAACTGAATCTCCCACCTGTTTAGGCAGCGCGAGGCAGTGAAAAAAAATAAGATGAAGTCGACTTCCGACGTAACGTGTGGACGCACCGGTAGGGTCAACGTGGTTCCACTCTCGTTAAGCTCGTGGCTCTGCCTAGCCTCACGAATACTGCTTGCAATGAAGTGCTGTCGTGAGGTTGTGACACGGGGGGGGGGGCATGGGAGTGAAATCGAGAGCTGTCTTTTGCCGCTGCAGTCTCCGACGCATTCTCGTTGCCAAGGAAATACCTCCCCTTCTACGAGTACCCGGTTTGCCATCCTGTCGACGTTTCTATAGAGAGAGGGGGTGCTTCGAAAAACAAGAAAGGGTCAACTGCTTCTTCGCACGATGCATAACTCTACCACCGTTGTTTCTGCGGCTGCACCAAAACTGTTGGAACACGTACATCGCCCACCACAAGCGCTTCATCAAACGTTGCTGGTGCAAAACTGTGCGATATAAAAAAAAATTGCAGACCAGCGGCATCACGACTCCCCTGCTGCCCCAGCAAAAACAGCGCTACAAGTCTTCCGCCTGCACTGCTCGCCTTCACGGCGGTCCAACATCAAACTAAAGGGCACGCACACGTCATGGGTGAAGCCCTCGTACGGGGGACACTGCCCCAACCGTACATATTCACTGCCCGAACTGAACCTTGCAAATGCGCGCGGTCAACAGACAAAAAGGTGTCCACAGAAGGAACGAAAGCGCCCCTCGATCCCCTCCGCGTGCGGTGCAACCCAACCCAAACACCGTGATAAGCACTCCCCCTTGACTTTCAAAAAGCTCGATTGCTTCACAACCGACTTACTGATGGAAAGAGCCCGATGTCTACGGAAAGTACTCCACCAGGCGTTTCGATTACGCGATAACAACCATTTCCTTGAATTTTGGCACAAGTTTGGTTGCGGGCCATTCGAGCTTTGAAAATCGGTCCAGGGGGGTCGCCCATCTCTCCGCCTCCAACGATACCCACCTCCCAGAGGGTCCCTCTACCTCGCCCAGGTACATGGCCGCCCCGTCGCCCAGCTGACCCGCAAAGGACCCGAACTGGTGCCCGCAGTAGGCGTGGGCATGAGGCTGTGCGCCGGGCATCAGCTTGTTTCCTGGCCGTCGCGATCGCGGCAGGTAGGTGGAGGAAGAGACATGCGAGACAGGCGAGGCCCTGGGGTTAGGACGTATCTACAGCAGAGAGAGGGATACCTCACGTATCGAAACACGTTCACATTGGAGATGCACTGACCAGGTTCGCATTGAATCTTGAGCATGGAGAAACACGCTTCTCGAGATAAAAATACGCCAGCTGGGCTAGGACAAGAGTTTTCCTTCGACCTGCTGCTGCTGCCGCGAGAGACAGAGAGAGAGACAGACAGAGAGAAGGAGAGACAGAGTCCTTGCGGGATGTTTCCTTGGTATCCAATAAAACCCGCGGGCCTCATGCCGGGTCTGCAACTATTCCGCCCGTGACGTGCATGGGGGGGGGGTAACACAGCATAGCTGGATCTCTAACAATACACCCCTATCTTGATCCTTACACTCCTTCCAACTGGACCAACCCATGTTGAACTTGGACAGGAACGGCGGGGGAATAAAACATGCGAAAACTTACCGCTGAAATACTCCGCTGCATCCTCCCGTTGCCCCTCCTCCGCCGCAAGGCCCAGCAGCCCGAGCGCAGAGTTGGACGCTGCCACCATCACCGGCTTCACCACCGGGTCGGGGGCGACGATAGAGAAACAAGCATTCTCCACCCTCCTGACGTAGTTGTCGGTGATGGGGTCGACGGGCAACTCGCGAATCACTCTGTTGTCGAACGGCAGCGTGTCTAGGGTGCTGCTGCTGCACGTAGCAGCCGCGTCAACAGCAGTGCTCATGGCGGTGCGGGAAGCAGGTCTCGCGGTAACAACGCGATCGTTCCTGTTCGAGTGGGAGACGGAGGCGGTGGCAGCGGCGGCAGTGGCGGCAGCCGGATAGGTGAAAGCAGCCGTGCTGCTGATGTGATGAGTGCCTCGGCGGCACGATGACGAGGGTGCAGCAGCACCGAACACGCGCGAAGAGGACGAAGCACCACGCCGGACGGAGGCGCGAGCCAGCAGCAAACCTTCAGCAGAGGAGGTAACCGCAGACGCCAGTGACATCAACAAGGTGGCTCTGCCAGTAGCGTGGTATCTCATCACAAGACACGAACAGCCAGCACTGAGCATGCAGCATAAAACCCACCACAGCTCACAGCAGCTCCAGGGGGCGCCGTGAATGCAATATCGTTGTTTCACTAGTATGTACTTGTTCCAATCCATCGAGACCCTCTGCAAGCAACAGCTAGCTCGGGGCGGTGTCTTTGGCCGCGACAGCAGACCTCTTCGCCCTGCCCTACAACGAACTCGCACGCCGAGACGGGGGTCTACCTCGGGATCTACCGGCTACAAAGGTAAAGCTGCCAGGCTGCCCATGGTTTTATCCGGCGTTGCGAAGGCTGTGCCACGACCCACCACGAAACATGCACGCCCACAAACACCACACAGGACCGGTCCTTGTCGCTACCAGGTGCAGCACGCTTGACCTCTGCTGCCTGTGCGTTGTGGAGCAGCCAACATCACACGAACCAGCAGTTCTCACTAGCTGTCTTGCCCACAACCGCTCACGAATCTTTCTCCCCTCGTGGCGTGGTGCATCAGACCTTTCCCGTACGTGTGCCTTTCCTCCTGCTCTCGCTCGTTGTGCACTTCGGCAGGGCGATATGACCCCCTCTCGAGGAGCAGGACCGCTAGCTTCCTACAGCGGCAGGGCTGCACCGTCGACGTGTCGATGGCTGCTGGCGATGCTCGTCTCGTTGGTCGTGGGAGCGGCGCGAGGCTTCTTGTTCAACCCCACCGCAGGTGGTGGCGGCGAGCTGAAGAGAGCAGCGGGAAGGGGCGGCTATAGCAGCAGCAGCTGTGCAGCGGGGCAAATAGCGATGTCGGTGCGTGTGGTGTTGAACATGTGTTGTTGAGTGCCTGCTGCTGGTGGTTGTTTGGAGACATGCTTCTCGCAAGGGGGGCGCCGGATCAAAGCTTGCCTGCTGCTTGACCGCGGGTATCGCATGCCCACCTGCACATTGCGTTCGCCTTGCCCGTGCATGTCTTGAAATGAGCACAGCAGCAGATCGCCCGCTCGCACGCACTGCACGTGTACACACGCGTATCCGTCGCAAAGATTGCACCTATGGGACCGCTGTACATACCGTATCGCCTGGTGCACTGGGTGAATGGGCAGTGTTGCGGGATCCACCCCATATCGCTCTCCCATTCGGCGTTTGAGGGTTGTATATATGTGCTCGCTGTCTTTGAGTTGAGACGGCTCGCCGGTAGTTGACGCTGACAAGCAGCGCTCTTTTTGTTGGACGGTGCCATCCAACGCCCTTACTATTGCACCTGCAAGATCAGCAGCGGCTCAATAGCACACCCGCATCCACCGCCGTCCCGTTGAGTCTCCTTCGTCTTGTGTTTTGGAGAAAACCAGATTTAGAGCGCAGCGGTTGTGCGCGGGGTCACACACAAAACGCCCGACCAGTACCTAACACATATCATCTGCACCTTCCCAACATAACATATATGAGACACACAAGACAGCTACCAAACTGTCTTGTTGAGCCTGTTACCCGCAGGGGAGATGTCCCTATATGCTGTCTGGGAAATCGTAGACATACAGGTACTTTCTGACGCTATGAATCCATTGCTAATCTGTCTCAGACTCTTTTCTATGATAGAGATGGTTTCGTTGTGTCATATTAAGAAAAAAAAAAAAAATGGTGCGCAAAAACACTTTTCTTGGGCCCGTGGTCTACGCACCAGCAAGCCGTGCTCCTTCGCATGAGGCGGAGCAGGAGCATTAGCAGCGGCAAGCCTTAGCAGAAAATCAGGCGGCTAATCCCCTTTTTTTTTGACAATGCAGGGAAAAGATATAGAATACCGAAACATGTTGGATCTTAAAGAAAAATGTCCAGGCGAGAAGGACCGCTATCTAAAACCGCAGACATTCGCCGGTTGTCGTTGAAGTCGGGTGGGAAAACCAAAACGCGGTCCCGCAGGCACTGAAGTCGGCTGGAAAAGCCAACCAGCGCGGTTGCTCGACACGCTTCTTTTTTTCATCTATATAACACGCCACCGTTTCCAAAACCAACAGCCACTTGCCGTACGCGAAACAAGGCCGCATGGCGGTGTGTGCCGCATGGCGGCGGAGGCGGAGGAGGAAGAGGGAGGGGGGGGGGGGGGAGGGGAGGGGGGGGGGGGG